CTCAGTACAACAGTATGAACAAACACATTTCAATAAACTTGAACTGTACTCAGAATACACCAGTTTGTACCGGATCAAATGTCGTTCAGATACATGAATCCTTCAGTGACTAAGACAAGGGGCATTCTTTTCTAAGTTAAAGTTGCTTCACCCGATTATGCCATTTTCCACGGACATACTAGGCAGTACAGTATAGATTATCACTCACCTTATACACAGCGATGCCCGAAGCCGAATTCAGAAACCAGTTGGAGTACACTTTGCTCACTTCATTCTTATCTCCGTTCATGTCCATGCTAAAAATAGACCTCTTCTCTGGTGTGACCCAGTAAAGCTTCTCCACAGAGAGGTCAAAGGCCATTGTGGTGGCCTGCGACACGACAGAGCTGTTGGCCAGTAGCTGGACCTTGCTGTCCGAGCCGTCCATCACGGCACGGAAAATTCCAAAATCTGAGCTGCCAGCCGACATGGCCCCAACGAAGAACAGATACCTGAGGGTTGAAAAAAGGACACAAAAATGTACAGGTGATTTACTTTTTTTTTTTTAACACAAACATACAAACTCTCTTCCAAAACACATTTGCCTAGTGATAATCCTTTATCAAAACACATAAGCACATAAATTTGCTTATTATCAACTTGAAAAAAAAATACACAAACATACAGACGCTCCTTCAAAACACACCAGCACACTGACTCACTTCCACAACACACCAGCAGACTGACTCTCTTCCACAACACATCAGCATACTGACTCTCTTTCACAACACACAAGCACACTGACTCTCTTCCACAACACACCAGCACACTGACTCTCTTCCACAACACACCAGCACACTGACTCTCTTCCACAACACACCAGCATAAAGACTCACTTCCACAACACACCAGCACACTGACCCTCTTCCACAACACACCAGCATAAAGACTCTCTTCCACAACACACCAGCATAAAGACTCACTTCCACAACACACCAGCACACTGACTCTCTTCCACAACACACCAGCACACTGACTCTCTTCCACAACACATTAGCATAGAGATGATCCTCTATCAAAACACACTAACAAGTCACTTCCCTCCCAATACACCCTGGCATACTGATGATCTCCTTTCAAACCGCATCACAGCACACAGACTCTCTTCTAAAACACACTAGCATACAGACCCCCAAAACACACTAGCAAACAGATTCTCTTCCAAAAACACATCAGCATACTGATAATCCTCTATCAAAATACATGAACAAACTGGCTGCCAAAACACACTCACATACAGACTCCCAAAATAGACAAGCAAACAGATCCTCTTCCAAAACACATTAGCAGCAGCACCAATAACCACCTCCATCAGTACAACTACAGCAACAGCAGCAGCAGCAGCAAAACCATCAACACCACCATTACCACAATAACAAGAAAAACATCCTTTTCAGAGGACAAATGGAGACAAGACTGCCATACATATTTTAGATACGGTGGCCCTGGAGAGATTTCATTTCTTGGGGTTGCAGGTAGATGCAACAAAGAATTTGTTACCACCTCTATTGCCCCCTAAATCTGTTGTTTGTTTTAGTAGAGGTTTTACGGCGCTCACAACTGTATAAGGTCATATGAGCACAAGAAGATTAGAGGTGTTACAAGAGGGTAACAAACATAAAAAAGAAGGAGGGGAGATAAGGACGATAGATATTTTATAGGAAAGAAGAGGCAAACCACACCAGAGCACCCGCCAACCACCCACTAAATCTGTTGGCCACACAGACACAATAAAAACAAACCACCATCACCACAAAAAAAACAATAACTACTTCAACAACAACAACAACAACAAAACACACCCGTGGTGAGGATCCACTAAAATTCTCCTGGGCTGGAAAACCCCGTTGCTGGAGTCATAAATCGTCTTGGTGAAACTGTTTACCGAATGGAGGACCCGAACCTCATTCCCTGCAGCGCTGGTCAAGTAGAGGACCCGTGCTGTCCAGTCGTAGTCCATGCCCGTAAGCACACCCTCTCCCAAATCCCCATGGAGGCTGTCCTCCGAATCAACAGTTGAATTGTGGGAGAAACAGATTTTCTGTGCAAAAAAGAAAAAACTAGTGTCTCATCCATCGCATGATCAAGTACCAAAACGTAGATTGAATTTTCTTTTTTTAAAGGATGTATGCATGTACACGCATACGTACGCACATGTGTGCACACAATCAAACACCCATGAGCGCGCGCACTCACACATGCACACACACAAACACACACATACACACATCCCTAATCTCATTAAAAAACACAGCACAAACACTTACCTACACAAACCACAAACATACTCTTATATACATAATACAGACCTCTCTCTCTCTTCTTCCCCCCCCCTCCC